GGGGGGGCCTATAGCCCCGATAGAAATCTGTGTAGGCCCAGTCGGGACCCACCAGTGTTTTCTATGATATTCTAAAATATATTTATAAATTATCTTTTCAGCACCCCGTATGTATCATTAAGCCCCTTTTCAGACCAGGGAGAGGAAAAAAAGTCTAATCCAGTGTCTGTCTAGGACTTGTCCTCATCCCTATGATACACAGACAGCCTGTAGAGATGGCCCAAAAAATTCGCCGTCAGAGAAAATATGTTCATTTTTATCATTCAGTTGTACTGTGGATTTATTCCTTTTGTGCTCATTTGAATGTTTGTTATTCAAGCAGACACTTTTGGGTGCCTTTTGCATGCGCGAGAAGTGTGAAACCCCAATATATATTTTCTTCTTTCTTGTGGTTCTTTGTGTTTTTATTTAAATGGAAAAACGTTCTTAACCCCTTCCTGATATTTTTGTTTTGGATTTGTAAGAGGGTTCCTGTTTTGCCTTGTTGAACTATTTATTTTAATCCATATGAAAACAGAAATGTCATTTCAGTTTGGATTTGTGTTGTTTTGAATGAAAAGGACAATTTGTCATTAACGTGACAGCATGGGACCTCTCGGACCTTGATGACTAGGTCTTTTACTTTGGCTATTTACCTCAGCATTTGTAAGTGAGAACCCCGAATATATCATTTGTCATGCAGTACATATAAAACATTACTTTTTAATCTGAAAAATTCACTGTAAACGTGTCTGAGCTCAACCAGTGAAATACAATGTTTTTGGTTTGAGAGGTTTGACTGCAATTTAAAAATGGTTTATTTTGTTCTTTAAAGAAAAGTCTGAAAAACTTTGAAGTGGCTTCTAAACGCAACTTTTTTTTTTTTTTTGCGTTTCATGTTGTTTTTACTCAGCAGTGTGTTCAGATTATGGTTAATCCTCAATGCGGCAACTCAGCTGCTGACAGGCGCGCAGAGGAGTCATCATATCAACTCCATTTAAGCTTCACTGAACTACTTTTGCAATTTAACATCCCAAATCGGCGACGGGGCATCAGTTTTTAACACAGCATCCTTCAGCACTGCTGAGTGTGTGGCCTTAGAATAGAAAGAAAAGTGTTGTTTTCCTTTCCATGGTGGCCTTGGATTACTTACATTGCAGTTTATAATATTGGTGAGAATTACAAATGTTCAATTAGTGGTGGTGCTGTGGTTCCTGTTCAAAGTGCTATTTTCTATAGCACTGTTTTATTCTTTGTTTTAGTTTGAATTATTGTTTTGTCTACACAGTAATTACTGTATGAATAGTTTCTATTACTGAAACACAAACTATGTTTATTAAGGTCCCCACTCCTCACCTATTGCGAGGTAAAATGCATCATTGTCGGTCCATCATTTCCGCCGTATTATTTTCGGTGCGCCGTTAAGTGCGCCGGTGTGAGAATGTCGCTGGTCAATGTGAAATATAAAAGATACAATACTGTCATATATGAAAAGAGGAAATGATAGACTTAATCAGTTTTGTGTTATCTCCTCTAGTAGTGGCTTGTGTGAAAAGAACTTTTTTTTTTTAACTTTTCTAAATTATTTGGAAAATAAAGGCTGTCAAGAAGCTTTCTTGATTTGAGACAGAGTTGAACGAGATTAAGAAAACAGCACACATTTGGTTGAACAGCCAATTTAAACAAACAACACTTTTAATGTGAACATATGACAGAAGATTGACCTGAGGCTGACATGTCAACATAAGCGAATGACAAAACAGTAAAACATATCCTGGTGCTTCAAATCGCTGAAATGTTTGTTCTGTGCATCTTTAAGATGCTGAGTGGCACGGAGCCACAGCACCAATCAAAAAGCAGTAATGTGTTTGAGGGGTGCGATATGCAGCTGTAACTAAAACTTTTCTCGGTTGACACGTGGCTTGATTCAAAAATGAACATCGTGTTACTTAAGACGCCCTTTATCCGCATAGTTACGTTGCAAAAACGACACGATCACTCAATGCCACGTTGCCATCCGTGCCAATCATCGAGGTAATGGAACTCAGCTGGTCTGCCTGTGACGTTTTCATCCGTCGCCGGGATTGGTCAAAACAGAAGTTTGGTTGTCATGCACAAGTTGATGCATCGCACAATCAGCATGAAGTATTGTATTGAGTTCCTGCTTTTCCCAAGCAGATCACACTGGAGCAGTTCCAGATTGATACTATGGAGAAATTATTCATTTTATTCATCTGGCTCAGGTTAGGGAGAACTGGGATGAGCCCTTAAGCATGAACCTCATTAAACCGTAAAAATCCAGAAATTGGCCACATACTTATTTAAGTTGCAGGGTTCAAAGCATGTGAAAAACGTAGCCCTTTTTAGCCCAGAAATTACGGCAGGTCCAAAACAATGGGCTCAAACGTAAGATCATGAAAAGCAACTATAAGATAACCTTGATTAGCACCAACCATTCAACCGAGGGAGAAAACTGCGATTGTCTAAAAGCACCTGAAAGCCACTGCCACTGTGGGCTTTGCAGAAAAGTACAAACTAGAACACTTGTGCATGGCATCAGCCATCAAAAACCAAACTAATAAGGCTTGTAAATATTCATAGAGAAGCCGCAGACAAGTGTCAGATGACTTACTGTTGGTTTTGAGGCGGGTCGGCTCACTGTTGCGGCTTCCTGCCTGGTTGATAGCCTTGACGAAGAAGACGTAGCGCGTGCCACTCTGCAGGCCGTGCACCGTGTAGTGGTTCTGCTTGATGTTGGGCACAATCATCCAGCTGTCAGCAGAGTTGTACAAACCTGGCACACGCAGAAAAGAACAAACTCCCTAAGCGACATGTTATGCTCACAATGAAGGTTAAGCGCAGCAGTTCTCTTTGACTGCCAATGGGGCACAACACAACAATCTGCCCCGACTTTACCCAGACTTGTGTTATTTTTTTTTTTTCCCCTCGAAGCGCAGTGAGTCATCAAACCGTGCAAAAGCTTGGTGAGCCCACGGCCTCAGCTGTTCTGCAACATTTATGTGCACATACTGATCCGTCCCATTACCTTTGCGTGAGGTTTAACATGTCACGCGCCCCTGCCCAGGGCTGACTTTGTTACGCTCATTATCGTGAGTCTTGAACGCCTTAACAACAGGAGACAGAGATACGACGGGGGGAAGTGTGCAGTGTGCACTACGAGCCTGAGGGTGAAAGAATGTGAAAGCTTGTCATGTTCAAATGTCTGGAAAGGAAGGCCAGGCTCACATGACCTCTCGTCGTCGAGGCAAAGGGTTTTCTAGTATAACTAAGCTGAATCAATGCCATGTGCCTCTTGTAATTCACTTTTCGCAGCGATGTCACTCATATTTTAACCTTGACTTTCTCACCATGTCAATGTGCTTTTGTGATTTTAAAGCAGTTACGTTTTGGATGTCAAGACTATCATCAAAAATATCTAATATACAAAAAAAAATCCTTTAAATTTACAAGGTTCATCCATCGATCCATCCATTCAGTCACGTCATCAGGGCTACAGGGGACTTGGAACTTATGCCAGCTGACAATGGGTGATGACGTTCGCCCGCGGTTTTAATGGTCGCAAACATGTTCAAAATTTCGTTGCGACAAGAAAATCTGTTTGCAAACATTAAAACTGTGGGTGAACATCTTTGCGATTGTTTTGGACCTTGAACAACCCTGACTGACTGACTAACTAACTAACTAACTAACGAACTAACTAACTAACTAACTAACTAAATATTTATTCACTACTTTCGCAAACACTCACAAACCGTCGCCTCGCATTGGGATCAGAGCTTAAGAGGCAGCGGCTTGTCGCTATTTTGGACAATTTAGAGCCTTCAATAACGCACAATATAGGTTGTTGGAAATTGGAAGGAAGTGGAGTTGCCAGAGAAAAGCCACGTAAGTACGCAGAAGACACGTTAACTCCACACACAACCCCGGAGTTGCCGACAACTTGTTGTAAGATCAGAAATAAAGGAGGCACCAAACAAATGCCCCAATTGATAGAATTGTGCATTTTATGAGTAAAATAATATTTTTCTCGAGCTGTTGCTCTCAGTTGACAATATCATCCATCCATCCATCCATCCATTTTCCAATCCGCTTTATTCGCACAAAAGTCGCGGAGGGTGCTGGAGCCTGTCCCAGCCGTCTTCGGGCAGTAGGCAAGGGATACCCTGAACCAGTTTCCAGCCAATTGCAGGTCACAGAGAGAACAACAACCATCAATGCTCACACTCACACCTCGGGACAATTTAGTGTGTTCCATTAACCTGCCATGCATATTTTTGGAATGTGGGAGGAAACCGGAGTATCGGGAGAAAACCCACCCAGGGAGAAAATGCAAACTCCACACAGGAAGTCCGGAGCCGGAATCAAACTCACAACTTGTGCACTGTGAAGTCGATGCGCTAACCACTGGACCATTGGGCCACCCTTGACAATATCAGTGAACTATATCATCAGCACGCTTGTCAACGAGCCCCTCTCACGATTCCAACGGGATTTGCAATTGCAAATAAAACAAACCATTTTGTCAAATGGCCTTAGAAATGGGATTAACCTTTGTAGTGTACAGTTCAAACTCCAATAAAAATTCGTCTTCATCACTCTGTTTCTTAAATATTTCCCTGCGGTGTGAAATCCGGAACTCTGGGAACAATCTTGACTTCAAACCTTCTGGGGACTTCATGAATTATTGAGCAGGGTGGCAACAACATACATGCATAAGTAATAGCAGAGTGTCTTCTTGTAAATATAAATACTTCACAGGACGCAAATAAGGCCATTAAATGTGAGAGGCTTTTAAGAATGGATGAGGGAAGGGAACTCTTCGATGGAGAGTTATTTGGAAGCGACTGAGATGAAGAAATGGTGCTTCATTTAATCATTTGAATGTCGGCCACTGATACAGTTTTCCCTCATAATTATTATTATTATTTTAATATGGGATGAAAAAAAGGTTATGCGATGGAATGTTTGCAAAGAGAAAATGTGAGGAAAGTGCTTTTGTGCTGTTCTGGCACTCAATTGTACCTTTTGGCTGAATCAATTTAGATTGGTAGGCAGCAGTTTTTTTTGTTTCTTTTTTAATCACATCTCGTGAACAAAAGAGCTTCCTGTCATCAGCTCCACAGCTTTGTAAAACACTGTGGCTTCAAAGTAACACGCAGCAGCAGGAAACTGGGCGACGGGAAAGAAAAATGAGTGTGCACGAGAGAGATGATATGAGCGGAACACATGATAGCTACCCTTGGAGACGACGGCGACTCTTCTTTGGTGACGCAACGCTGCGTTCGAGGTGATATTGTGTACGTGTAAGCAACCATAGACGTGTGCTAATGATTGTCGCTCTGCAAAATAGGATTTCTGTTCTGTGTAACAACAGCAAACTTGAATGAACATAAGCGGGTCTTGGTAGCAAAAGTTCAAACTTCGCTTGTTCTGCATGTTGGCCACAAATTACAAACAACAACAACAAAAATCTTAAAACTGAAGGTTTGCTGTATTTTGTCAGAGCAAGTTTTGTTGATTTGGAATGTTGTGAAATCTACGGTTAAAATACATATTTTGTAGGTCTCGTTGAATTCAACACGTTATTCGTCTTTTTATACAGGTACGTGCGAGAGAAAATGCAGGTGCACATCAAAAGCAGGAATACAAATCTTCACCAGAATCCTAATTGTGAATTGGTCACACATTATCACATGGGGGAGTTGAGGTTTTATGAAAGAAGGCACATAAAAGATCAAAAAACCCAAAGCTATTCTAACACTAATAAGCGAGTGTGTTCCTTATTAGTGTTGCTTTTCACCTGTAGTCAGACGGAGGCGAGGGATACATATTAAATACAGCTGCCATAGGAGTCAGCATTGGTGTATGAAAACAAAAAAAAAAAAAAAAAAAAAAAAGCAGGCCATTTAAATTGCCGATTCAGTTTCAAGATGATGGCGTCATGCGTTTCAAAGATGGAAACTGATGGGAAAAGAACCACAGGGAACAAATGTGGACACAACTATCACCGTGGTAGAGATTTTTTTGGGGGGGGGGGGGATTTTATCACTATTTGTTGGTAAGATGGCCTACAGTGAAGTTCTCTTGGAAATGCGATGTTGTGTTATTAAATACGGTTTTTATCATAATGTATTAGGTCTTATGCTTGAAGTGGGGGAGAAATTTACTCATTGGTCCAAATAACAGGCTACAAATTTAAAATAATGTTCACATAGGGGCTTTGATATTCAACAGGAGAAACCACACTTGGAATATATCTGGAAAAAGAGCCCTTGTTAAAAAGGCAGTATGTTGTTTTCTTGATACGATTAAGTAAACTAAATACATAAAATTTGGTGTTGGGCAGTTTAGAAGAAGGACCATGCAGATTGGTAACAGAAAGTGAAAAGCAGACTTAGGAGGGCGTAAAAAAAATACGGTTCAAATCTGGGTCATATGCAATTTTAGACCTTGATCAATTAATAAGCAACTGCATGCATTTTTCATTACTTCCATCAAAGATGTGATTTCTTTTGGTGCTGATCTGAACGATGATTGGTGTAGTCTTTTTTTGGGGGGTGTGGGGGGGGGGCTGAGCATTGATCAGTATCAGTATTAGTAGCAGCATCAAAGCTGACTCACTGCTAATGCTTGTTTTGAAGCTTGTAAATCTTAATGTTACGAGAAAAACACACACACACACACACACACACACACACACACACACACACACACACACACACACACACACACACACACACACACACATTCAGAGGGCAAGGTCTCTTTTGCAGAGGGCGGCATTCTGTCAGTACTGACCGAAGGGGTCTATCAGCCCAGTTTTCTGACAAATGACGTCGTCTGTCAGTGTAATCATCAGTAACTGCGTCAAGTCCCGATGGACCGATAGTCAAGTCCCGACAACCTATCGGTCTGTCACTGAGGGACACCTATCTCACTGACCACTGCCTGAAACACGCCCCGCCGATCTCGCGTGTGTTTATTTTAGTGGGTTAAAACAGGCAATGACAGGCTTATATCGGCGTCCTCGAGTAGACTGCATTGACTCTGTTTGTAGGTGGGGGTATGAGCCAAAGAAACACTAGGGCATCTATTAAAATGTACAATTAATGAGCTAAGAGATCAGAAAGTAGCTTTGAAGACCAGAGACATTTTTTTCCAGAGTAATTCTTATAAGTTAAGTTTTAAATTTCAATTGTTAGTTTTGGAAAGAGGAAGGTTAAATAGGAGGTTGTGTATGATGCAGACTCAAACTCCATTCCAGAAGTTCTTTGCCAACCACCTAAAGACAGAAGAAGAAGAAGATGTTGATGATGATGATGAGGGCGTCTGAGAAAATGCATTGGTGGATTCACAGACTGATGATTACAGTTTGGCTTGAAAAAGTGACAGTCTCACGATGATGGACGGGACACCCAGGCCATTGACGAATGATGGATTGGCAACATTTTGTAAACTGCCCACCTCTGTTCTTTGGTCTGCTTTGTGATTTAGTTTTCAATTTGCATGGCACCTGTAGTCACTTGTTTTTTTTTTATTCTGTGCTGTGCTTACATGACTCTGCACAGACAGTTCTTACAAGGCCACTCAATTCCACTTCTTGTTGCCCCCAGGAGGACCGAGACTGATGCTAGGAACAAGATCAGTGCTCAAACGGATGCGTTTAGCCTCTTTGAATGTTTACAATGGTAGAAACCAGAGTGGCACGGGAGGCCTAATGGTTTCTGTCTTTCTCAATGTCGGCTGTGAATCTCGCAGGACTGTATGGCAGCACGAGGCTGAATGTCTAAGTCACAGAGTTGAAATGTATCCTGATGTTTCAAACGGGCCAGGGCACTCCACTTTCATGGTGGATGGAGAAAAGCCGGGACTGCTCACGAGGAAAGCGAGGAGGATGAAGGCATAAAAGCAGCAGATTAAAGTCGAGAAGTGCAGTCGTTTGTGTGTGTGTGTGTGTGTGTGTGTGTGTGTGTGTGTGTGTGTGTGTGTATAACGCGTATGAGTGTGCCAAACTATGTAGAATAATCACGTCATCCTCAGTAAGAGGTATTTTACCTCCATTACAACCATTATCCACTCTGACTTTCACATTCATTTTGTTTCTTCCCCCACATAGAGCTAAATATAATTTCATTCACCGATGGAGCAAACGTGTTGCAGTCTGTATGGAGAAACAAAAAATGAGTAAGTAAAGTAACAATATGTTACAAATTTGTCATTCCATTGGTGCACTGATGACTCGTTAACCCAAGATAATGAATTTTTGGTGGTGTATATTGTTGTTTTGTCAGAGCCACTTCTAACTGCTAGTCATATTATTGTGGACAAAAGTGCTGCCTGCTGTTGCTTTAAATGGTAAATAAAACCCAAAACGTCAAACCTTTGTTATATTTTAAATGTGCAAATCTTTTTCATCAGCTGATGTTTACTTGTTACTTGCCAACATTTTTAGGGAATTTATGAGGAGGTGATATGTGTTTGGAAGTTGCTGGCTTGTTATGCAGCTTTCGAGACTGAGAAAACCATGTAGCGTCTGGAAATATTACGATGTGTATATTGTCGCTATTGGGCGGAATCCTCGCATCTCCAAAATCATGTTCAATTTCATGATAATTTGATTTGTCCCACCTAAAAAATTCTTAAAGTTTTATTAAATGGTGCGATCACCAGCAGTCCACGTCTGTACTCGCGATGGCAAGGTTCACGTCATCTTCCCAAATTCTTTTTCAGAGGTCTTGGAGTCAGGAGTGAATTATGTGTGTGTGTGTGTGTGTGTGTGTGTGTGTGTGTGTGTGTGTGTGTGTGTGTGTGTGTGTGTGTGTGTGTGTGTGTGTGCGCGTGCGTGCGTGCGTGCGTGCGTGCGTGTGTCACATGACTTACTGATGAAATTAGTTTGGCCAGTGTATATGGTGTACTGCAGCTCATACGAGGTGACGCTGAACTCGTCCTCAGATGTCCAGTGAACAGTGATGGTGTCGTGAGACGCTGTGCACAACTCGTCTCGGATGGTTGGCGGGCTGGGTGCTGCATGGGACAGTCGTTGAACAGTCAGTGAACAATACATGGCATTGCATGAAGACAATGACAATGACATTTGCTGATTTATTCATTCATTCATGGATACTGGATTTTTGTAACTCTCCACTATGGCGGGTACTTAATATTCTTTGGTGGGGATAAATTCTCAAGATATACCATTTGTGTTAAACTGCAATATAATTCTACATGACTGCAAACCTAATGATTAACATATTGGTAAATCACTATATTATAGTGTCCTTCAATATCGTTGTAAAGGTTACTGCTTACCTTTTTGGGTGGACCATATTAAATTCCATATGTGTATGTACATTCATATACAGATAGGTTAGATCTATCTATCTATCTACTGAACTGTATTTATAGAACACTTTAAAACAACCACCACTCTATACGAAGTGCTGTACGTGGAGCAAAAATAATTTGTACGACATCAAACAATACAACAAATTAATAACAAAGACAGTAGCAAGCACTAAAACAGTAAAACTAAAAATCAAGTCTCATGTTAAGTCAAAAGCCAAAGAATAAAATTGAGTTTTAAGACGAGTTTTAAAGATGGGCAGTGAGGGGGCTTGCTACATGTTCAGTTGGAGGTCATTCCAAAGAGAGGGACCAGCAACGGAAAAGGCTCAATCCGCTCTGAGCCTCCACTTAGTTCTCGGCACCGCTAATAGTGTCTGGTCTGATGACCTGAGGCACTGGGCAGGCGCATTGGGGCGGAGGAGTTCAGGTCAGAGGGGGTGAGGCCATTTAAAGATTTGAAAATGTATAATATATTTAAAGAGAAAGCGAGAAAGAAATCTAGCTAGCTCGCTAGCTAGATTGAAAAATCTACCTGTTAGGTAATCAAGGGCTTCCAGAATCTTCTTCTCTCTCGAAAAGTCCAGGGCAAAGTTGTCGAAAGCTTCATTCAGATTGACATCAGGAATGAGTACCTGGGAGGAGGCCGTCGCCATGGCAACTCTGGTGGTGAATTCAGGACAGACAAAAAAAGGCAGCAGTAGATTGAAAAAGTCGAAATTTTGAAAGCATCAACCGGCAGTTGGAATAGCTCCATCTATTCATAAAAACAACTACTTACAATCTAAAACAAAATGTGGAACACTGTAACACTGTCACCACCAGAGGCCTGCGAGTATGTTCATGCAGCAAGTTCAGCCAAATCAAACCCGTGAAAACAGATGACCTCTCCTCAGACGATGAAAATGATCAGTGAATGTGTCCATCACTCACCTTTCAGCCACATTTCGGGCGGTCTGAAGGAAGCGGGCATGGTCGTTTTCCTTTAGGCTCTGTTCTGCCTGTGTGATGAGGGCACTGGAGCGCTCCAGACACTGACGGCAGTTGGCAATCTGCTGGGCCAATTTACGCAACTTCATCACCTGCGGAACAAAGACTATATGTTGAGATCTTCATAATATTCCTTACATTCTTCTATTTATCACAAAATTACAGTCCATCACCTCTTCCACAGTCCAGGTAGTTAATCTGTTTACCTGTGTTGCCTATTATCATGAGAAGCCGTATTTGTTTTTTGAATATGAAGCGAGATCAGATTTAACAAAAAAATCTGAACTGGGCATCACACCCTGCGGTGTGAACGAAGCCTCAGAGATAAACAATACATGAGGACAGAGACAGGCGAGGCAGGAAAGCAGAAAGAATGCAGCCGGTGGACAGAGGTCCAGTTTCTGGGTGAGAGGTGAGGTGAACCACTTGGCTCCTCATTCTTGTGCTGACCTCTTGAACGTGTTGCCTGAAAAGCAGGCTTTAGAGTTCAGCGTGAGTTCTTTTTTTCTGCTGTCGAGAAAGTTTGAAACTATTCAGCTAAAGCATGGGTCGGGAACCGTTTTGACTAAGAGAGCCATAAAAGCAAAATATATGGAAATGTATTTCAGTGAGAGCCATCTGTCTATCTATCTATCTATCTATCTATCTATCTATCTATCTATCTATCTATCTATCTATCTATCTATCTATATATCTATATATCTATCTATCTATCTATCTATCTATCTATCTATCTATCTATCTATCTATCTATCTATCTATCTATCTATCTATCTATCTATCTATCTATCTATCTATCTATCTATCTATCTATCTATCTATCTATCTATCTATCTATCTATCTATATATATATATATATATATATATATAAAACTATTTTAAGAGTGAATTCAACAAAATGTCAGTATAATAAGCCTCTGAATGTATTCTTTTAAATAATTTTGTGATAATACTCACCGTTAATGTGAATGGTTTTCCGTTCCTCACTATTGCTAAAAATCCAGCAAAACTAGCGGAATTATACTCAGCTTGCCGGGTCCATACGCGGAGTTGCTGCTGGCTAGCTTGCACCCTGCTCAGTCGCTTGCATGCTTCCTTTCCACTGTCTCTCGCAGGGTATTTTGATGCGAACGTAGCATGGTGCGTGTCAAAGTGCCGCTTCACATTCGACCGTTTCATCGATGGTATTTTGTCATTGCAAATTTGACACACCGCAGAACCTGTTCTCTCCACAAAGGTGAATTCTTCAGTCCATTCGTCCTGAAGTCTACCATACTCGTCATTTTTTCTTTTTGCCATCTTATTCGTTTAGGATTAGCTTTGAGTTTATGAATGAGCGGTCTGATTCAAAAGGGTGCGTTTACCTGTTTCCGCAGCAATGGCCAACGTAGGCCAGTATTATCCAATCAAAATTGCTCCTGGAGCCAACTGAAGCCCTGAGCAGGAAATGAGCAGTAAAATATCGATGGATGGATTAAACAAGCGAGAATATTTTGTTTTATCTGCGAGCCAGATGCAATCATCAAAAGAGCCACATATGGCTCGCGAGCCATAGGTTCCCGACCCCTGAGCTAAAGCAACATTCTGTGCCTCAGTACAGTTATTGTCAAATTACTTTGTATAGTTTTGCATTACAAAGATCAAGGTATCCATTTCGATAGGTCTTATCTCCGCAGGGCCACCGGTAGGCTCGAAATGATCCCAGCGGACGTAGGGTGAAAGAAAGATTACACCTAGGACACCAGCATCAGTCAATCACAATTGTGAAGGACGTATTGTGGAGTAACCGATTGTATGCCAGTTGCACAAAATTCATAAGCTATCTATGACAGTACCAAGATGGAGGTGGCAGTTTTATATTTTTGGGCAATTTTAACATATTTGTGTGACATGCAAATCCACTAATCACCAATCCAATTGGATAAAGATAGCGTTGACAGATAAACCTTTAAATGACCTCAACAAATTACTTGCTTTAATTCTCATTTTCTCGTGAGACTTGAATTATGCAAATACAAACTCTAGGGGGGAAAAAAACTGACAGGGTGAGGATTGGTTGAGAGCTTGTCATCAAACGTTCTGGGAGAATCAAAGCACTACCTAATGTGCACTGCCTGTATGTTGCTGGAAAGGCTGCTCCCTCTTAGAAGCTGCTCCGAGCTGGCGACTTAATGGAGTTGTCAACTGGCTACCGAATGTTATCTGCTCTTCCACTTGGAGCATCATAATCTGCCATCATTATAAGCCGAGCAGCTCGGTGACCACATGCAGACAAGACGCTGCGGCGGCGTTGTTTGATTGGACAATATGTCATAGGAGCTGTGTTTGAAAAGTTTTAAGACTGGTGTCACAAATGGATACCGTCTATTTCAAACCCAAATTACAAATTTAGGTCCAAATTCGCCCGTTTGCGCTGAAGTAATTTTTTACACGCCAGGCTTGCACACTTTCAAGGTACGCTGACTGTCTCATCCACACTTCTGACATACCCACCACGCACAACAATTTAAGAGGCATGACTTTTTGAAGTCTGAGAGTGGCCCTAATTCCCAAAGCGTGGTGTTTTCATGAAACATTTCCATTAGAAAAATATCGCAGTGGGCCTCTGATGTCAATTCAACATCAATATGTCATCAAAATCCAATCTTCAACATCAAATTGTTCCGTGCCTGCTGGGATCTCACACTTTAAAAGTGAGATTAACGTGCACAGCGGATCCGGAACTTGTACTAATTAAGGCGCACGTGATTTTGTATTTTGTTTTTAATAAATCAAATATAAGTAATTTAATCAGAATGTTTGGAGCCGGTGCATCGATAGAAAAGCGAGTGAGCGTTGATCAGTGTTGCCCAGCAACCATGTTTATGCGTCACGCCACACACGTGGGCAATCACTAAAATGGATTATAATTAAACAAATGATTTAAAATCTAACTCATGCCACCATTATGATGACTGCAGTTGTTTGAGACTGGCGCTCTCTAACACCAAGCCCGCATCAACGTGAGGTAATGTGCTCCGCAGGTGAAAATAAATAAATAACGCGCTGAATTCTTTTTCACGACTTTCCCTACATGTCATCCAAACACGACAAACATCTTGAACGTGTCACAAATGCATGAGGATTTCGACCTACACGAGGCGCCACATTTACAGTCATAAACAGTGTGTGCCGCGTGCCGTTTTGTTTTGTGAGCATGCATGTCACTTCATGGACGCATTCTGTCCACATAAGAAGCGGCGTGTGTGTTTTTGCAATGTGAAGGGCGACATTGGTTTTCACAAACATTCTGAATTGGGCACCATCCTGCAGTGTGAATGTAGCCATGCATGCTGTATAAGTGCAAGAGCAGAAAATAAAAGACGATGGGGCTCAGCTTTGTCTTATTACAGGAAGAACGCTTTAAAAGTGTAAATTATTTAATAAAAGGATGGGAAAGGAAGGCAGGGATGTACAAGACTGACTGAAGCAGTAATTAGACAATGTTTTAATTCATTATGACAATTAGTAATGTGACATTCCCACACAAAAAGTAGCTGTAAGTCGATGTAATATTGAGCCTCATCCGTCAAGAGACTCCTTTTTGTCAGCCTCATTTTATGACGATGTATTTAAACTCTTCTATAGACTTGAAAGTTTCATAGTTTGGCTCTTAGGGACAAGAGCTACAGAACGTTCAAAACGTTTGCGGAGCGAAACTGGAACCAGACAAAGTTCTGAGGCATCGACTCCAAACTTCTGTGACCCACTTTCCGACAAATATACCCCAAACTTTTTTCTTTTCTTTTTTTTTGTTTTTTTTTTTTTGGTTACCTAAGTGAATTTGTTTTCCCTCAGCTCCTACCTGTGCACCAAAGCACAAAAGATTCACAGCTCGAGCACAATTTACACCCTTTGTTCCACCACAAATACGGCCCAATCAAAGTATTGGTTTGATTTTTTTTTTTACATTTTGGAATTTACAATGAGAGGGGTGGTGGATAAAGAACGCAACATAAAGGCGCACACATCACGGGAATAGAGATTAAACCTCCTTCGAGAGCAACAGAGTTCTTAAGAGGATGTGACAGAGAGAATGAGAGCAACTTGCCCAGCTGTACACACTGTGATCAATGCCTACATAATCCTGTTACTCTGTTGCACAAATGAACACTTTCTTCAGGAGGCCACAAACGACAGCAGTCTCTATTTTTGAAGTCTGACACAATTATGTCATGCTCACGGTCCCTGCACGACAACTTTTAAAACTGGACTTCTTTTACAATTACCCCTGCGGTCTATCATGGCCTCAACACTACAGCGGCAAAGAGAAAAAAAGACTTTGGGTGTCACGACATTTTCAATGGATGTGTTTGAAAAGCTGCTTGCAAGCAAGTACCTTATTATATGCATATCTATTTTTACTCATATTTTGCAATCCCATCATCCAACCAATTGCTTTATAAAAGAGGTTGCCTTTGCAAAGAAAGGAATGCTAGGTGGGATGGGCTGGGCTGGGCTTTTCCACCCCGGGTAATCCGAGCGCTTTACACTTTTAACCTCAGTCACCTATTGATGACGCAGCATCAGGAGCAATTGGGGTGTTGAATTAAGGTGATTTTTTTTTTTTGTTGCAGTTTGCACTGGTGTGAATTGAAATTAACTACATCGTAGTAAGAGGTGTTAATAAGCTATCCATCCATTATCCGAGCTGCTTTATCCTCACGAGGGTTGCAGGTGTGCTGGAGCCTACCCCAGCTCTCTTCGGGCAGTCGGCGGGGGACACCCTGAACTGGTTGAGCACACGTAGACGAACAACCATCCGCACTCACACTCACTCCTAGGGACAATTTAGAGTGTTCCATTAACATGCCATGCATGTTTTTTGGAATGTGGGAGGAAACTGGAATACCCGCAGAAAACCGACACAGGCACAGGGAGAACATGCAAACTCCACACAGGAAGGCCGGAGCTGGAATCGAACCCTGCACTTCTGCACTGTGAGGCGGACGTGCTAACCAGTCGACCACCGTGCCGTCAATAATAATTTGTCATTCTCTTATTACCAAAATAGAAATACAGAAATGTCAAGCAGAATTTGAAAACACCCAAAATATTTCTATGTAGCTCTCATACCTTGATTGAAGTGTCCAATAAGTGTCATTTATTAAAACTGAATTTCTAAATCTCCATGTCCATCCAATTCACTCTTTTTTTTTTTTTTTGGTAGTTTTTCCAAGTCACTAAATATCCCATGAATCACATTCTCACAGCTGTTATTGAATTGTGTAACTGCTTTTATTGATTGCAGGCCTGGGAATTAATCCTTTCAAGGACCGCGGTTACTACAGTGGACAGTTTATCAGGGTATCATGTTACAGGTTATCATTATTGGTGCATGAAAGGGTTAAACCCAATTCAAAAATTGCACTCAGGAAACTCTGCGATGAAACAAGATTCACAGTTTTTTGACAGCGATATTTATTCTTGTCTCGCTCCTCAACTAAGCAGGTTATCAGTCATCTCTACTGTGTGCCAACTGTCTTGTTTGGTGTAATTACGAAACAAATGAATCATTGCCTCTCTCCCTGTGGTTAGCCCAGCCTTCCACTGCCCTCATTTTCCATCTTAGCTTGACTTCAACCATTTGTCAACATCTGTGATTACAGGGATGGCATGAAGTGCATTTCATTTATCTTAATATTCAACGCATCACTTAGTGGTTAAAGCGTGTAATTCTGTGCCACCCGTTATCGTTATCTATGACCCAGAAAAGCTTTGCTCTTTGTCGACATCTTGTTCTACCGGATAAGTTTTCTTCGAAGAATGAAAGTGTCCTGAGTAGTGATGTAATGATCAATTTTATCCGCTTTAAGTTTGCTCCTCTTCAATTCGAAGAATCTTACATACGTCTCAACTATAAATAGTTCTCAGATTTTTGAAGTTCTCATCAAACGCATACTGATAAGCTTTGTGTGCAAGATGTTGATCAACATTTTTTGCATATTTTTCTGACATGTTACAGACAAAACCAATCACCAAATTACAAATTACAAATTTGTTTACACATTTTCTGCACTGACACTTTGAAATAATGTACCGTGTTTGAATACAGATTTTAAAAAAAAATCCAAATTCATTGATTGATTGAAAAAAAAATACTGACTGATTAATCGATTATTAAAATAATACTTTACCTTGGACTCCTTGATTTTCACAGCAATGACCTGCTTCCTCTGGCGGATGATCTCCACCAGTTCGTCACACTCCTCCACCAACTTGGCTTCGTGCATGGCAGTGTTCACCTGGAGCGGAAGAGAAACGCACAATTTTAAAACTCATTCACTACCAGCCAAGATAAAATGATGGATCTTTGACTTCTACAGTCGTCAATGGCAGTAAAAGTACTATTATTAATAAAATATTCATGTTAAGAATGAACTGTGTGGGGACATCTTGATCTAACGTTCAGTGACCACAGACCATGTTGGGTGAATTTCTGCAAAAAAAAAAAAAAAAAAAGTTTAATTTCAATGTCATGAAGGTTTTAAAAGGGAGAAACGATTGTTAACTCAACTGTATTTATAGAGCACTTTCAAACAGCCGTCACTGCATACAAAGTGCTGTACATGGAGCAACTAACGTACAGTATATACAACAATAAAGCAATAAATCAGTAACAAAATGGTAGAAGGCACCAAACAGTAAAACTGCGATCAAATCTGAGTCATGCTGAGTCAAATGCCAAAGAATACAAGCAACAGCATACTGTAGTATTCACGTTCAAATGAAGGCATGAAAGTAGCTGACGGTACACCGGCTTGTACTTGGAAATATATGTCAACCAATGGATGATAACCGCTTATAATTTGTATTGACATGAAATATTTCACTCTCAGTGTGGCTTTGAAAATGTAGTTTTATGTCGATACCCAAAATAAAATGTTACAATTCCTGAAATATACTAACTATGTAAACTATTGAGCTTAAGGGCGAACCACCAGGCTTCCCGGTGTGTCTCCCCATGTTGCTCATTGTTGTCTTGCTTATGTTATATTATGACAGGTTGTAACTGGGAAAGTAAATTCTTTGTGTGTTTTTCTATAGGTGGCCAATAAATCCGATTATAATTCTGACAAGCAAGAATAATCCTCTTGAGAAAGACTATGTCCTGAAACGTATATACAATTTCGGCTTTGTGACATGTAGCAATCAATCATATTACTTATCAGGACTATGTTCCCCTGGTTACTCAGCAAAGCTCATGAGAACTTGTGCGATGAAACACTGACAAAATGAAAACGTTTGCTAAAAGGATTAACAAGGCAAGATAGTCAGTGGAATATGATGGAATAAATCAACGTAGTCCAAAATGATCCCAGTCGCACATTATTGTCAGTGGAATCACTGAATAGTAACGTATATAATGAAGAATGTTATTTACTTCGGGTTGCAATCAGCCAAATCAAGAGGTTGAGTTAATCTGCAGCACGGTGTTGTAATGACATACATTCATTTTTTTTTCCTTTTTTTTAATGGCTGACAGGAAACATTCACCAGCAGACAACGACACGACTGAATCAAGCTTGATAGTGTGATGTCTCAATGTAATCTCTGTTGTTATGCTGTATTTTTTCAGACAGTCTGTTGACAACAGATAAATAAGACTAATTGTATGTGCATTTTAATGACGCGGCTATGCCCATTCAGCCTTCAGCAGGCACATTTGTCAGGGTGGCAGCTGCATGACGAGCAAACGCTGCCCAATTAACCACTGAACAAATCCCCAAATAAGTTTTTTCAAGCGGCACTACAAACGTGTGTATGTTATTAAAACTTTGCCTCGTATTCTCATGGGGAAACCAAAGTTTGAAAGCTGTCCCGCGACTGAGCTGAACCCCGCTATCTGTTGGTTGCGTTGACATGAATTTGATATAATGGGACATGGTGGTGGGCTCAAGGACTTGAATTATTCAGGCTACTGTGTTGAACTGCTGCACAATACATTTGGAAAAACAGAATTTAAGAGTCCAGAATGTATAAAAAATGTAACTTGGATAATGTGACTTATACTCACTAAGGTGACACTGCATCATTTTAGTCACAAAGTACCGTCAACCAAAATACCGCACATTAAATGCTGGTAACAGCGAGTCAGCACACATTTTAGAATATTTACTTGGTGGCTTGCAAATATGCAATACAGCAAATTACCTTATTTTCCACACTATAAGGCGCTTCTGTGTTTTCGGCGCACCTTCAGTGAATGGCCTATTTTAAAACTGTGTTCATATATAGGGCGCACCGCATTACAGGGTGCATAGAATAGAAGCTACAATAGTGGCAGCGGTTGTGTTATGCATCCACTAAATGGAGCTACACTAAAGGGAATACAATACAATACGGCTTTATTTATGTGGAGCTTGCACAACCGCTGCAGCTATAACAAAGTGCTTTAAAGAACATTTAAAATACTACATCCAAAAAGTCAGAATATTGATCCATATATAAGGTGCATCGGATAAAAAGGTGCACTGTCAGCTTTTGAGAAAATTGAATGCTTTTAGGTGCGCCTGATAGTGCGGGAACTATGGGAAGTTACAGGCTACAGCTAGGGTCAAATGACCTTGAGAATTAAGAGGTTTCTAACCGATCTTTATCTATATTGTAGAATGGGGAAATCTTGTGGCTGGCTAAAGTTTTATCTGAATGGATGTACGGATATTGAAAAATCCACTGTTATATTTTACATATGCAAAAAGGGTGAAGATTGTCTCAAACAAGCTCCAAATGAGACATGCTCAAAATTGTACATGCACAATGGTAGTCATGGGGAGGACAAAAAAACAAGCAAAAAAAAAAAAGAAAGAAGCAAAATCCATAGTTTTGGGGAGGCACAGAAATCTTATTCCTGCAGTTTATAAATACAATAGAATACGTAACGAGTCGCTCTTGGTGTAGTTCCTATCATGTGTTTGCACAAAACCCAGTTTTGCCCCAACTCTTCCATGAATATATGAACAGGAAGTTCTCTATTTGGCTTCTGTCTCCTGAGCAATACGAGGATAGTCATCAACAATTAATGAACCAGAAAAAAACCAAACAAACAAACAATACATCAAATCCTGAATTAAAATGGAAACAAAAATATAAACGACAAGAAAAAGAAGAAAGGCTGGAATGGAAACTGTTCCTCTGTGTTTGATTGGCTCTCCCAAATCATTACGCAAACAAGGAGGAGGGAATCCAGGTTAGCCTCAAAACTCCTCGGATTTCTTTCTCGACACAACTTCACGAACCAGCATCTCTTACTGCAAAATCCCTCCCTCTCTTTGCCCTCTTAACCTGGTTGGTTCACCATCATTTGTCGACACTCTTCTTTTCCCCTCTCTCCTTATTTTTCCTTTTGACAAGAGCAACATTCCTACCGTGTCGACAAGACGTCTTTCTCTTTGTCCCTACACTCAGTTTGCAGGCCCCATTTGAAGGGAACCACTCTCTTTATTCACACTAATACTAATGCTATCCCACACTTATTCCTCTTGTAAATAATTCAACTAACTATTTGACAAGGATGGAGGTGTAAAAATGGTGGGGAAAACACATTACAATAGCTCACTACAGTGACTCTAACAGAATAAAAGCAAAGAGAAATTCATCATATTCATCCGGATTTGCACCATAATATTTATGAATTACGTTTAGGTTCAGCAACAAGTAGCCTTTTTTCCCCCCCCTGAAACGAAAATATCATAACTATAAATTGCTAAAAATCTGTATTGCACAAACTTTTGTCGGTCAAACTTCAAACAAAACAAAGGGAGAGATGTCAAAAACAGGATGGCCCTAGAGAAAAAAAAAAGTACACTTTTGAAATCAGTGTAAAAAGAATACATTACGGGACACATAGCACCATCTCTGATTAAAATGTGATGTTGACCAGTGCTGTTTATCAAGTTTTTGCAATGTACTTTAGGTTCTATTTGTTTCTGTGGCACATTCTAAAGCATACTCTATTTGTATGCAGACGACGGTCAATCTCCACATGCCGTTGGGTTTGTCTGCACTTAATGAATCACGCGTAGTCATTTAGTATTGACTGACTGAGCATAGACCTCAAAGTGACTCTTCACAGAGTAGTCTGGTTCGTATAATAACCAACTTTTCAGGGAGGACAGTCAAATCTCACCTGGCAGAATGGTCTTTATTTTTAATATTAGGGGTAGCTTTACGTAGCTTTACGCGATGTGTGTGTGTGTGTGTGTGTGTGTGTGTGTGTGTGTGTGTGTGTGTGTGTGTGTGTGTGTGTGTAGTACAATGAGTGTTTGATGGCTATGCTTAAGCTGGACACTATTGGCTCCTTTCATTTCAATCACAACACCGTTCCAAATGGGTCAACAGGGACAGAACTGCTTGCCTGGGATTTCATTTCTGCAGATAGGTATGTGTTAACACCACAGTGTTGTGTCACTACAATGGAAATGACTGTAAGTCAAATAAAAGTGGTACCTCGACTTAAGAGTGACCCACTGAGGAGTTTTTCGAGTTTCAACCCTTGAGTTGCAACACTTGAGTTTTGTCAGGAATTGAAAGCTACATTTCGAGTTTTGAACTGACGCACAAGCTGTCTAATTTTTACTTTCTGTGTAACTATTATAAGTGTATATTTTCATAACGTACACTACTGGATGGAGAGTGCTATTTTAATTTGTGATTGGTGGTCGGTACCAGGTGTTTCAGGTATTTTCGTTGTCGTTCCATTCATTTGAATAAGGAAAGATGACATGAGTACTATCGTGGAACACATTAATCTCTGAAGTCAAGGCACCACTCTACGCCATCTCAGACTGTAAATTTCAGTATCAATACATATTGACTTTCAACTGTTTGAAGGTTTTAACAACAAAGCATCCCTGCTGCGCAATCTCTGAAATTGAAAAAAAAAAGACAAGGACAGTACAGTGTTCATTCTGAATAGCATTTTACATTGCATAACGGCGCCTCGACCATCGTTGGGCCTGTTCTGTGATGATAATCGTCATATTGACTACTCGCAGAGGCCTCAATCAGAGCTCAGAAATCAACTTTCTCAATCTGTGCACCCGCCACTGAACTCAGTGTCTTTGACAGACCAATTGCGGTAATAGCCCTCAGCCAGTAAAAGAGCAGCTTCAGCTTTTAAATGAAAGCTCTTCTATTATAGATGATAGTAAAACAACATTGCGGCTCAGTTCTTGAATTAATCGCTCATAAAGAATTTTCATTCAATTAAAGTGACTTCAAAATTTGACCAGTAGTCGCAACCCATAAAAGAAAAAAAAGTGGAGGGTAGGAAAATAGAAGAGAAGTTTACGGGTCCATTTTTTCCACTAAAATCCAGGCTGGCTTCCCTGCCTGACCTCCAATTAATGATCCAGTACTCCACACATAAAAATAGAAAGATGCTGCATACCTCAACCTGTTGGCAGATTTGGATGAGTTTGGCCATTTGGTTCTCCAGTTCACTGTTCCTCTTCACTAGGTTGGTCAAGTTGTTTTCCAAGGTTTGCTGTGCAGATGTCGGTGGGGGAAGAAGCAGACCATGCAAGGAGCAGGGACAAAGAAGAGAATTTATCAAGACAAATATACTGTACATGTCCGGTTCAGAAGAAGTTACAGTTGTAAATTTTAAATGTTGTCAGTCAACTACAAGAAGCAGTTGCATTTTAGTATCATGTTGTCAGAACCATCAACAATGACATTGCTGATGTCCGTTTGGGACAAAATCTGCTGCAAAATCTAAACCTAACCTCTCTAAGTCACAATTCACGATACTGAGATCATCTACTCTGGTTGGTTGATGCAAACAGTGAAGGTTGTTCGTTCAGAGGCACCATCAGATATGCACACAGCGGCCACACTCGTGTCACACCTGTCCAAAACCTGAGCTAAAAAAAAAAAAAAAAAGATCTAACCACTTATATCTCAATAAAGAACATACTATTGAAGAGAGATTTGTGACACGAATAAAATATAAAATCAGTCAAGGTTTGTGGCTTTTAGTTTAGCACACAGGTCATTGTAAGCATAATTAAGACTCAATCGAATTTGTATAACCATGGTCAGACAATGTCCACTCATAAATAATGCAAAATATGTTCTTGAATAAAACACAAATATTTCTAGTCAATTAACCTCTGAGACACATGCATCTCATTAGTAGTGTGATTGTATATGTGTGTGTGTGTGTGTGTGTGTGTGTGTGTGTGTGTGTGTGTGTGTGTGTGTGTGTGTGTGTGTGTGGTGCACACCAGGGTCACAGAAGCCTTGTGTTGCCCAGTCATTATTGATGGAGCTGCTCCATCACACGGCATGGGTGTTGTTCGCCTTGGATTTCAATCATTTTTTTGGTTGCATTTTTTCCCCCCACTCTGTCAAACACGTGTCAAATAAACTTTTCAATTTCCTTACATCAGCAGAGTATGAAAATACCAAATGTACATACAGCTCTCGTTGGAATTTTTTTGAATGCGCTGTATACATTTGTTGTGCGCTGAGAGGGTGAAAGCAGTGCGCAAATGCTCAAACATGCAGCTGAGAGGGGAACATTGTTTCCAACATTCTAATTTATGATAAACATATTTCAAATACTGTTGGATTAAATCTTTTAAATGATGCTCATCTCGGCTTTACAGAGGTTAATGTAAGAAAACACTGAATAATTATTCAACAATACACACACACACACACACACACACACATATATATATATATATATATATATATATATATATATGGAGCAATAACAAGCAGAGAAAAAAACAGAAGGTTGCAATGGATTTAACTAATTTTAATTGCTTTTTTTTTCCCGAGCAAAACTTGCTACATTTGTCGCTGACTCTTATTTTACAAATTATTGAACATTCTTACGTGTTGAAAATGGCTCTCTTTGACCATGCAATGTTAATCGGTGAACAAACATGCCGTTTTAGAGTCTCCTAAAAAAGGTGATTGAGGAGGTACGAAGATTCTGCCCGATGCCAGCATTATGTTTAATGTAATTATATCACATTGAGTCAGGAAAACAAGTTGCTGATTAGAGCAATGTGCATCTGTTTTTAGATTTCCAGCATCAAAAAGCCAAGATGAAAGCCCTCAAATAAAAACAAACCAAAAATATCATTGACTGGCAACAAAAAATATCACTGACTGGCACTTCATTCTAAAATTCATGAGGTCTTTTCACGTAGAAAAATATCTTCCTAATGTATCCTCTGGCCACAACAACCCCCAAAATAACATTCAAATGTTTAAATATTGTAGTTCAGTTTTTAATGACTTATTATAATGACAAAATACAAAATAAAACCAAAGGCCCTCGAGGAATTTTAACGATCTTAAGATCAATAACTTTTGACGGTCAATACTACAGTAATGCAATCCAAAGGCACATGCAGCCACATAAAGATGCAAATGGAAACAAGTGAGGCCACAAAGAAAGAGTGTTTCAAAGGGAACAAGTAAACCATGGAGGCAACGGGCAGCGAACCCCCCAACAAAACAAACAAGCAAACAAAAAAACAACAGCTGTGACGAGAACAAAGCGGCAGACAAGCGGCGGGCTTTTAAGGAGTTCTCCTCATGCATGTGAAGAGGAAGGGGATCAGAGCGCCACCTGGTCACTGCTCAGACTGTCCCATCTCTCCTCTGCCTCATCCTGGCCTCATATCTCTTATCTCTTACTTCGTGCCGACTTAATAATTAGTCAGCCGGCTTATCTCCATCCACATCTTTTTTAGGAGTCTACCTGCGTGCACCCCAGCAGAAGGGATGAGTGTGTGAAAATGGTTAGTTGGTAATGGACAGCCAGAGAACTCACCGCAGCGCTTGTCTTTGAAGCCTCCATTACCGCATCTGACACTCTGCCCGGGCTCATCTGATAAGCCTACAAACACACACATACACATTGGCGTAAGTAAGTGTTGAGCACGCATACACAGATGAGTGTAGCAAAAATACATAAAAATGGAGGCATATTAATAAGCGAGCTAAACACAAACTCAAACCTGCATCGAGGCGTTCATCCAGTATTTCCTCACAATTTTCCAAAGAAATCGTTCTTTTTTGGGGTACGTATGAAGAAAACCATGCTACGCTCGGAAGCTGTTAACATCGCAAAGGCTTTTCTTTTTTTTCGTTTGTTTAACGTGCCTTGTTGAAGTTCACTATCAACATACACCCACCTGGATGTGTTTGGTGGTTCATAAGTTAAGAAGTGAAGATGGAAATAGCTGCGGCTCAAGAGTTCGAGCAGCAAAATGGAGAAGCAGTGGAAGAGGGTCGATACAAGTGACCAAGGAGTGATGAATTGCACTTTAGTAGCATCGAGACATAATGGTGAGTTGCAGACGACAGGTATGGGGAGTATTAGAATGATGTTAAGGAATATCATTCGTCTTCCATCCAGCATTGGGGGATGCATGTGATGAGACCGCAACGACTCTGGAGACGGTTGAGGAGATGGAGATCGACTTTTGCGGAGCGAGACAGCTTGGCATAGTCGCCACAGACTGAAGCTGCGGCTCAATCCCCGGCAGCCCTCCACCCTCATTGTTCTGTCTCGTTGCCATTGTCTGTCTTTCTCTGCAGCACCACGTCTCGCTCTAACCTGATTGTCTGTCTCCTCACTCGCTCAGCGTTGATGCAGTTTCAGCTCTTATTCCGTCTGTCTTGCTTCATTTCCAACTGCAGCAGCTGACAGCCCATCGTCTCGGGTTAGATCACAACTCGGGCCAACCCTCCTACGTAACATCATGATCTTGAAAGGCTACTTGGTCTCATGCTTTTGCCCACGTCTCTTTGAAATAAGACGGCTAAATCCCTGTCATATTTATTCATACGTTCAACAGCTACCCAGCATTAGATATAATACACACAAATCTGCTCCAGGATGCTGTTTGAGCTCAAATTGGTTCACATTTAATACGTTTTTCCATTAAGAAATAATGGAAATATACAATCTGTTCACAATCAGAAATTGTGAAAAAAATATATTCATTGTGCGGCCAATGTAATAGCTAAACCTTTTTAACACTCTCCAATTTTAACAAGTTAACCAGCAATAAAAAATGGATGTGTTGTTGAATAAATACCTAATTATCTTGACAATGTCAAAAAACACGGTGAAAGGCCAGCTTTATGATATAGCTCTAGTTTTTGACTTTACCATGTGTAATGGTGTGCCTTTTGTCTATGATGAAAGGTATGCCACGAACTATTGCATCTTTCCATCCAACTGTGACAAGTTGGCAATTTCCAACCTCAGCAGTCCAATTACACTCCCCATTTTGAGGCATGGATGCATCGCTTTCATACGTTTCTTCAGCAACATTAAAAGACGCTCCATCAAAAGATGACCGTCAAGTTCAGGTATGAAACGGCATACTGACAGCACAAGACACAGAAAACGTTCTCATGGGGTTTCTAATCTTGCTCTGCCTTGTCGTGCAATAAGATGAAAACGTCCAGTTGCTAAATCATTGGGCCATTATGGCACCGCAACAACAAAAAATGTGTCAGAACGTCCTGAGGGGAAGTATCTAACTTCAAAGTCTTTTTTCCCCCTTTTAATTAATTCAGGATCCTCCCCAATGCACAAGCCATTCAGCAGGACAGAGACACAGACCGAACTAAGGCAAGCCAGTGATTAAAACTCATGAAAGACAGGCAGAAAAGAAGCGGGCTTTCTTTACAGCTGTTGGTAACAAGAGGATTAGAAGAAGTGAAGTCATGTCAGTAACATCAGCCTTCTGGGAAACTGTTTTTTTTTTTTTTTTTTGGCAAAAGGATAACATTCTGTATGGTACAACTTGCGAGACCAACAGAATGGGGGTTTGAATGTCACCCATTGGCTAAAGGCCTAATTGTCATTGGAAAAGCTGTTAATTTTTAGATATTGACCTGCTTTTGAACTAGGCAGTGAACTTTCAGCTTTAAGTGGTTATATATAAAAAAATAAAATAAAATAAAAATGAATGAAAACAAACCCGAAAAGATACTGTGGTCAAGTCTCTATGGAGAAGTTTGAATTAAATTGCTTGGAGGGAAACCAGAAGCACAGAGGAATAAGAATAAGAAAAGGACAAATGGCAAACCATAATCAACCTCAGCTACTGGCTTCCCGTGAGACTTACTTACTATGGGGGGAAATCCAGTCGGAACAGAGATAAATGTGATTATATTTTAAGTTTTGGCCACATGGGGGATAGAGGATTGACACATTTCTCCGTTCGCTAAAAGGGACTAATAAATCATCACGTCTGCTGAGACCAGTGCCACAATGATATTTAAAGGGTGGAAAGAATCACTTTGCGCATGTTCATGAAATACTTGACCAGGTCTTATCCGAACTGCCCTTTGTAGACGCATCCTGTAAGCAACTTCAAAATTTGTCTTAGTTACTAGTGATGCGACTCCACTGGTCACAGTAGCAGCTGGAAATGGGTCAAACTCATTATATGGAGCAAACCACGAATTATATGGCAATGTAGTCCACCATTTTCTTGATAATGTATGACATTTGTGTCATCAGATAGCCATTTATGCATTCAGACAAGAACACGTAAATGTTTCAAAACTTCGCAAAAACTTGAAACTTCTTTTTATTTTTAATTTAACATGGATTCATTCGTCTTGGACTGTGATGAAGATGAAAGACGGTTAACATGTTGAGGAGGTTTACTTCATTTCACTCCGCGGTTTTGTTGGGATTGCAAAGTGTAAATTAGCTTGGAAAGATAGAATGTTATGACTAACTTAGTCGAGGAATATAATATCTGGGTGATTTGCGCAAACTGTAACTGTTATTGCGAAGTCAGCAAAGTCCAGACCACTCTCAGTAGCACAGCTACAATTACCTGAAAGTATGTATTAAACAATGGGGTTTTACTTTGGTTGTTTTTTTTTTTACCATTTTGTAGTTATTAGTGGTGCACCGTACACTTTGGTGAACATATTACACGTCAATTCAAGAGATGGTTTTCTCCCAAGATTTCTGCAGGTGCACCAAATGTTGAGGCTTGTGAATGCGTGCCACTTCTGACCTCGTCTGAAATGGAATTTAGGGAGATGATTAAAACAAAATGAGACCGATATACCATTACAATGTCATCATATTTTTCATCCTACAACCGCTCATTGCGATCAGCTTCAATACATTTGGTCTCATCTGTGTGAAACCTTCATCTGCCCACTGATTTGAGAACTGCCTTGATCCGCACGCGCAGTGGAATATATATGAAATGGACACGTGTGGATTTTCGAAATTGTTTCATCATCGAAGCGGGATGCTGTGTGATTTGTTACCTTTCTCCATTCTTATCCTCGGCAAATGATATCATCAGGTTGCTGCTATTAACTCTGAGCTGTGATTTGAAACGTTTCTGTCTGTCAGGGTCAAACCACTCCTGACAACAGCCGTTACCATTATGATGGAGGCTTTGTGCAGATATTGCAGCACGGCTTTGATAAAGCACTGACAATATTGGGTATATTAGCAGTACATTTCCATGACTTTGTTTCTTTAAGACGTTATGTCTACAAAAACAGATGATACATGATTAAAAAAAAACCCCACAATGACGACAACCGAACAAAGTCTGATAAGCTTCGAAGTAAATACAGACTGTTTCTGTCAGGCCGAGACTCCAATCTTGTGCATACATCTTAGGTCAGAGTAAATTTGCTCCAGTCACAAGCAACTGCTCATGATTCAGCATGCCATTCTCATTTGCTGCTGCTGAAACAGAACCGTCTTCACAATGGCCAGTCTGATTTGTAGGGATCTGTTGTGCAGGTGCAAAACGACAAAGCTGAGGCAAGTAAATAATGCTCGCATAGCAACACCACAGCATTGATAAGACCATGACCGCTGATACGTGTTTGGAGCAAGCGCATATGTTGCATTTAAAGATGATTTGAAGTTGGACTTTTCTGACCAACGACTCGGAAAAGTCCACCGGAACGTCCCTTTGAACGGGAAACCATTAAAAGAAAGGGACCCTGGCTTGACTGACCGGCTTTAATCTGACGTCGAAGAAAAATGCTTATCTTAGGTCGATGGACAGTGCACTTTTAACAGAAGCCTGCCTGGAACTACTTAGAAAGTAATAAATAATTTGCAGTAAAACTATGCACAGCAAATTAGCAGGTTGATAAGTGTTTGGAGGAAAAAAATAACTACATTTTAATCACAGCACACAGAGAAAAGAGGAAGTTAAACAGTATGCTACACCACATCAGGATCATAATAGATTGTATTTTTTTACTTTTTATTTCATTTTGACTTTTGTTAAATTTGAGTTCATTTTTAGAGCAAGTTTGTTCTTTTTTCTTTTGTTTTTTTAAAATGCTTAATTTCAGTTTTGTTTTTAGTAGTTTTAGTATTATTTTTGTTTTTTTTTTTCTTTCAAACATAGAGTGTGGTTCCATGATGGTTTAAATAAATAACTGTGGCTTTCCATGTATGTTTAGGACATAAATAACATCTGAGGACTCATAAAAAATAAAGCAGTGTCTGACATGGAATTTGCATTTCAGAGTACAGAATTTGAAGGCTGTTGTTAAACCTATTAAGCGGATTTTATGAAGCAACTGTCACCTTCAGACTGGTCTCCATTGCAAAAACACATTCTGACTGAGCGAGGTGAGCCACTGGCTCCTGGGGAAATTGACATGACAAGTTTGTGCATTTACACTTATTCTTTGAAACGCCACAAGGGTGCAAGCAGCCCATTGAGTCATTCGAAGAGGAATACAGAGACTGAATTAACGAAAGACTAGAGTTACTTGCTAACGGTTATACGGCAGTTGTGGAGATGAAAAACATGGCTGCAACAAGATATGCTGTAGCTAGTCCATCTGTGCCCACAAACGTTTGCCTTTATT